GAATTTTATATCAAATAAAAGTTCGTCAAAAACGGGGTTTATTGATACTAAATAGTAAGGGTTATAAAAACTTTTTAATATCGAACTTAAGAAACTTTCAGAAATTTTATAGTTTTTGCAGTGGTAAAGTAAGGTACCAGTAATTCAAAAATGGAGTGAAATATCTTTAGATATTTTTACATGGTTCGATAGAGTTCATCGAGCTCTACAAAACTGTATATATGAAAAATTTTTAAACAGAGTTGTTGCGTTTAAATGCACTGAAAACTGTCTAAAGAATGTGCCAAAAGTCCACATTTTTTACACTAAATTCAGCTGTTTTCCATTAGTGTTCTTATGTAAGATGTTGAAAACATACTCATTCGATGCAATTTTTCATGCTGCATCGAATGAATATATTTCGAAAAGCCTGAGGAAATAAAAAAACATCAATTTTTTTTGAAAATTCGAGTGTTTTTCTTTCATCTAAAAAATATGGCTTTTTTTAACGTTTTTTAAGATTTTCTAAATAGTTTTTTGAATTTTTTTTCACAAAAAAATGACTCAGAAAAGTTTTCACATATACAGTTTTGTAGAGCTCAATGAACTTCATCGAACCATGTAAAAATATCTAAGAAAAACATTTCACTCCATTTTTTTAAAGTTGTCATTTTCGGTCGTGATGATCTTGAAAATGGAAAGTCAAAAAATAGTGATGTTTAAACATGATGATAGAATCTCATATAGAGTGTTCTTTACAGCAGATTTTACAATGGCTATTTTTTAACTCTCATTTTGATTCCAAATCAGTAATCGATCGAAACGTAGTTTTGACGATTTATTAGGAAAAAAAAACCTGATTCGAATACAATATAAATATCGTTTAGAGAGAAGTGTCTCATGGTAAACAGTAATGCAGATTATTCCTTTTCTATGACATATCAGTTTCTTTGATATCGGGAACGCATGCCGGAGTCGGATAGAACTTCGTTATTAGATTTCATCTGAGATACGAGAGATTGGATTGTCTTTTCAATTTTAACACATTTTTCATGATGAGAATCAGTTGAAGAACTGTATATATTCGCTGCTTTATTGTAATAAGTAATTGCCTCGTTTAGAGAATTTTTCTTTTCGTAAGTAGCGGCCATATTCTCGTATGTTCTGGCAATTGATGGATGATCATCAAGATGTAACTTTACTTTTATATTGATCGACTTTTCGAAATGATTTAACGCTTCATCTAGACGACCCATATCTCGATAGAGAAGACCCAAATTATTGTACGATGTGGCCAAATCTCTATGATTGGATGAAAGGCGTTTCTGACGAATTCTCAATGCCTCCAGCTGATACTTAAGAGCTTCTCCATATTTTCTACTTTGCTGCAAAACATTACTGATGTTATTCAGACACATCGCAACGTTCAAATGTTCTGCACCGAAAGTTTGTTTGTATATTGCCCATGCTTTATGGTATGACTGAAGCGCTTTTTCATTATCCATATTATTTGCATAGATATTGCCGATACAGTTGTAGCTTATGGCAATTGCTGGATGATTTGGTGGAAGCATTTTTTGTTTATACTCGAGCGATTTTTGGTGCATCTTCAGACTTAATTCACAATCGCCTCGCTTCCATGCAAGGCTACCAAGTATGAAATAACATTGAAGAATATCCGAATGATTGGGATCTAATTCATCGAGAAGACTTAAATAATACATTTCGGCATCTTCTAATTTATGCATTTTTTCCAATAGAATTCCAAAAGAGAATTTGTTTGGTTCATGATTATCGCCAAATATCTCATTTTTCATTTCTTGAAAGCTAGTTTTCACACTATGATTATTGTCACTACATAGTGTCATTCGAACCATCCATATGGGCTTTTGATCTTGAAATTTCTCTTCACGAACATCAAGAAGTTGAAAGATTGATCCAAGCATGAACAGTATTTCTTGTTCTTTTTTATATTTACTGAGAGATGTAATATTTGCAAACGGTTTGATACTTTCGACTTTAGGATCAGCATAGATCTCGAAGCAGACTTGTGGAAGATCAGAGTTATTGTCGCGAAATTTCAGAGCTCTTTCTTGATCCAAACTGGTAGAAACAAATGAAGTCATTGCAATCAATTTTCCGATCGAACGTTTTAACCCTTGAAGTTCATCATGTGATATTGATTGAACTCGATAGACAGTAACAGGTGTCGAACATTGATACTTTTCGAGTTGATGACAAATATCACGAATAAAAAATCGAAATAAATAAAGTAATTGTACATTCTGTACACGTAAAGCTTTGTTCAGTATACGATAGACGAAAGACTTTTTTGTATACCATCGGATGGCATTATCTGGTGTATATTTATCTTGGAATTCTTTCAAATATTTGAGCTGTGTTTCGTTGCCTTGATATTGTTTTTCACATAAGGAAATAAACTTTTCCTTGTCTTCTGATTTAGGTTTCATTCGAATAAGTTCTTCAATGAGTAATCGAGAATAAACATATCGACTAGTGAGACCGATCGAAGATCGATCTGTTGGTTTATTGGTTTCTGAAACACTGATCGGACTAGATTCTTCCGTATTATCCTTCCTGATTTGATCTGATTCAATTTGATGAATGAGCTTAGGAAGACTAGCCAAGACATGTTTCACCTGAAATTAATGATTCTTAAAAGATCGTAGATTACTCTCGGTAATCTCTATTTACCTTTGGATGATTCTTGGACCATTCCCGATTCTTCTTCTCATCCATACAATACACATAGATAGAACTGAGCTGTGGAAGTTGATCGATTTGAGGTACAATCTGTTGTCCTAAACCACCACTAACAATCAATACAATGCGATCTGTTTCAGGACACTTTCGAATATATTTCTCGCATTCTTCAGCTTTTTCAAATGTTTTCAAATGATTGATAATTGCACGAAGTTTTGATTGTGCTGCAATGTTTTCTTGGGATGCATTCACTGATCTATCGAGCCAGAGAAGACTAAATGATTCCAAATTTTCACTCATGTTTCCAATCGATGAATTACTTTTCCACTAAGTTTGACGATATTAATCGTAGTATATTGTGTTTCGTCTTGAAAAAAGAAAAAGAATTATGTATTTGTTTAGTTTAAAATATTCATGAAACAGAATAATATCTCTTCTTTCTTGTTTACTTAACGAACACAGTTTGTTTCTTCTTACAGGCATGTTTTGATTTTTCATCTATTTATACTTTGATGAAATCATATACAACATAATATGAGTTGTCAATCATAATTGATAGTAAGAACTGATACGAATTCGATCGTTAAAAAATTACCTTTAGTGGGAAAAAAACCATCGACGAAATTATTTAATTAATTGAAAGGTAAAAGAAATAGCTGATAGGATCTTTTTTCATTGACGCATAAAAATTGCTGCAGGGAGAAAGAAAGCAAAAATATTATTACTCGTGTCTCTTATTGCACTGCACAGATACAACAATATTATTTTAGACACGTTTTTGGACGTCGAGAAAAAATATTTCACGTTAATAAATATATCAAAGTGACGAAATACGCAATCCGGTGTGTGAAGGGATCAGTTGTACAAAAAAGATTATTCATGATTTTTGACTTTGATTGACTAATTTAATTTTGTCGTAGATGATTTTTTTTTTCGGCGACAAAATTTTGTATTATGTTGTGTTTTAGTATGCTACAAGTCTCCGTGAAATTTAGAATGAATGTTAAATCATGTTTCTCAGATATTTTGTCTTCTGGAGCTAACATTAAAAAAGAAATGAATTATTGGAACTTTTTTTATTCCATAACAGTTAATAACAACTCAGCAATAAAGGAGTAGCACATTCATCGAGAGAAAAAATTCAATCATGACGAAAAGAAAATGTAGAATAATGATTTTGTAATAGAATCCACCATAAATTGCATGACTCTTCTATAAAAATACACGTTATCTATATCCATCGACTGACTGTACGAACTGGCCATAATGCATACACACTGAATTGCGTTCTACATATCAAAGTGTTACGTTTCGATCTGCTTGCAATAGTTTCTTGCTCGATCATATTTTATGATGTGACATATAAAAAAAAAAACCATAATGTTTTCATTTACTTCAAATTTTCAATTGAGCGCATCCCTTAAATATTTTGATGCATCATAATACCGACAAGTCAAATGTTGTTGATACTGTTCTTGAATCATTACAACTCAAAGAGACTTGTCAACAAAATTGAGACAAATTGTGTAAAATATAACGATTGTTCTAATTCTATTTCAAAAAGAAGATACCCATGACTCTTGAAAAATAAATTTCAAACACGTTAACGTTATTTAGTTTTGTAGATCTTTCATTGACGATTTAAACGCATACCTAACAAATAAACATTCGATATCTGCACCTCACAAAGTAGACGTATTTTCAAACAAGTCGATTTAAAACGTTAAAAAAATTTGAAGCATATAATTCGATGCATCTTCAGCTCTTTTTTCGAGCTGTGAAAGTCGCAGGTTTCTATCTCGTTTCTATGAAAGGTTACTCAAAGAATACTCACTCGCCCTTTTTTTCAAATAGCTTTATTCGAAACGTTACATTTTACAAAAAAAACAGTTCTAATCGTAATTTTATTATTATGATGTTAGTTTAATAGCGATTGAATAACATAGAAAAATAGATTTTTATATGAACATAAAATCAAAGTTGCCACATCTTCTGCTTTAAGCAGAAAAATTCTGCTTTTTTTCTGTCCTTTCTGCTTTTTAAAAACGTCCTTCTCTTTATAATTTTTATCGGCGATCTTGGATTCTGGTAAAAGATTACACTAAAAATGTGAGAAATATTGATATCTCCATTTGCTAATGTCTCTTCTAACTCTGAGCTTTCGTTCTTGAAACAAAACCTATTTTCTGCTCTTTACAAAAAAGCACAAATCTTATTTTCATGGTCCGTCTTGGCTCTTTTCTTAACCTACCTTTTCCTTTCCTTCTAGAGTTCAAACTATGACTATCAAGATCATGTGTCGTGCAACAGTTTGTAGCATTGAAATAATGCACGTACTCCTTGAGTACACCTTTTCCCTCGATTAATCAATCCATTAAATTAGTTTTTAACAAATAGTTCAACTAGTCTAACAATAACTAAGATATTCAAAATGATAAAATCTCAATTTCCAACATCAGATAGTGCTATAATCTTTGTATTCACAGCTAAGCATAAGGAGTAATAGTGCTATCCAGGATATTAAGCTTTCTATTATATAAGAAGTCATATTCCATCTGCATATCAGTTCGCGATTCTGTTTAATATTCCGAACACACAAGGAGATACGCTGAAAAGAATACAAATACCTAGCACTTCGTGACAGAATATAATTTAATCTGAGACAAAAGGAACAAATTTTAATCGATTCGACTTCTAAAAAAATGTTCATAGCTGACTTAAATTTATCTTCGTATAACAATGGATCAGCTTTCTACATATCTAGAACCAAATGAATTGAATTCTACTAATGACGTCATTAATACTGAGATGTTTCTAAAAAAAACTAAACATGTGAAGGAATTTGATTCGCATTATCGCTCATCATTGTATAGAAAAGATCTGAATTCTTTCTTTAGTATATAAGAATAGCCTATAATCCTACAATCAAAAGCAGAACTTCAGATCCAGTTATGAAAAGTATTTTCAACAGTTTTTATAGCTGATTAACTCTATTTTCAAACTCAGTATCATCAGTCGCTTGGTAGACGGAAAAGTCCATATAAACTGATGTTAAATTATACGAACGCGGCGAATATCGATCAATGACTTACTGGAAACTATTAATTCAGACGAAAATATACATTGAAAGAAAATGTGCCACTCAATTGTATTTATCTGTTAAATAGTTTTTACCCGAGTTCACATGAGAAAGATTGGATCCTGGTGAGGAACATTCTTCTTGTGACAGTGAGAAAATGCTTCAGATATAGTTTGGCATGAAAAAAATGCTTTCTGCTTTTTTTCTGCTTTTTCAGTTTGAATTTTCTGTCATTTTCTGTTTTTTTCTGAGGCATTTTCTGCTTTTTGAACATTACAAGGTGGCAACTCTGGTTTCTATTTCAATAAATAACACGAAATGTATCGGCGAAATTAAACTCTGCATTTATTTAATTATTTTAAGCTGAGGCGCAATATTAATATTTGAATTATTTCGACTTATGCGATTGCTGAAAAGCAAAAGTTGAGACTAGCAGACTGAACTTGTCTTTTCTTCAGAAGATAGGGTTCGTCTGTTTTCAATTGACACACCGACACCCCAACATCTTACATGACAGAATTCCTTATCAACTTATCTTTGAATGACACGTCACTATTTTGCTCTTATTTAAAGCAAACCTTTGTCAAACACATGTATGCGTTTCATGTCCAAATAACATTGTAGAGAGGTATAACATGAAATTGTTGGTATGTTTATTACTTTTTGTTCTTTCTAATCATTTGGGACAAGCTTCACAACCTTACTTCCCGCCTCAACTTGTTTTTTCTCCTGATAATAACAAAACAATAATTGCAATCGATGAAATTAATCAACGAGCGTATCTAAAACTCGATACAGATCCTGAATCAACAGATATTGCTTATGTCATGCAACATATGCCTTTCGCTAAACCTGACTCGCCACAGGCAAAGCATTACGTTCAATTAATTATAGTTAAAAAAAATAATATTTGCTCTTTTGAGACATACTGGAAATATAGTTCAAATTCATTTGGTTTATTCCCATTACATTGGGGTAATGATAGTTCATATCGTATTAAAAACTATATGAATTTCAACTATGTAATGATTCATTCAACCAATTCAACTGGAAGTGAAGATTATTGGTATACAAATGAAACATGTCAAACTGATAGTGGCGAGACTTATCGATGTCAAGAAATATATTTTATACAAAATACAAATATCCCAATTCGATATTCTGAAGTTCATCTTGTAGAAACAGACATTATTCGAGAAACAAAAAATTTTACTATTCATTCAATCGGTAAGCCAAGTGACAAATATTTTGGTCCAATTCCAGAAAACTGGTTTGAAAGCTGTCGAGATGGTGATCTTGGAGTGTCATATAATCCAAAAGAAATAATACTAAAATTACATGAAAGTGTCAAAGTTGAAGTTTGGCTTCCTGCTCCTCCACATCGAATTCATGGAAATGATACTGTTACTATTCAATGGAAACCATTTGCATGTAGCGGTTGTTTCACATGGACACCAAGAGAATTAGCTTTTAATCGTAAAAATTTCCAAGAAAAACAAATCTTAACAATAACGCGTGTTGAACTTTCAGGAGAAACATTTCTTATTCCAAATATTAGAGGTGGAGGTTATGACAATGTTCCATTTTACATTTATACGTTACCTATCTATTAATTTACTTTTTCTTTTGTTCTTGTATATAACATCTATACAGCTGAGAAAAAAATAAAACATTCTATTGCTGTCCTATGTTTTGACTTTGATAAAACGATAAGTCGTTTAATTAACAATATTGCAAAAATGAAAATATATCTGCATTTAATATCATTTTTTACGTAGTATTACATCAGAAAATGTTTACAGCCCTTCTTTTCGCCTCGAATTGTATTTGCTTTTAATAATTGTCTAACAGTAATTGCAATTGATGAAATCAATCAAAGAGCGTTTCCTTCACATTGGATTAATGGTATTTCATTTGAAGTGAAACCTTATATGAATTTTAATTATACAATGATTCATTCAACAAATTTACTTAAAAAAAAATACAGATATTTCTTTATAATCAACTGAAGTTCATTATCAAGGAGTATCAATAGTTCAAGTCAAAACAAATTTCAGTGTTATATCCATAGGAAAATCGGATGATAAATTCTTTGATTCTATACCGAAAAACTGCTCCGTACATGTCGAGATATGGACCTTGGAGTTTTCTATCATCCCCAACTAATTAAAATAAATGTTAATGAAGGTGTAAATATTCAAGCTTCCCTTTCTAGTCCTTCACATCGCATTAACGACAATGATACTATTAGATATGCACCGAACCCAAGAACAAACCGGTATTCCCGGCTTCGGTTATTCCCGAGTTCGGTGTTCTCGGATTCGGTTATTCCCGGATTCGGTATTCCCGGGTTCAATTATTCCCGGTACCGGGACCTCGGGTTTAGTCATTCACATAATTGTTATAACAATTTCCTATTATATGAAGGTACCCTTAGGTCCTCATCTCCTATCATATACAGGTACTCATATGTCAGCAGACGGATGTAACAATCCTAATACTTCCAATACCAATACGATTTGGTATTGGTGGCATTGATAGTTTGCAAAGGAACATCAAAGTTGAAAATTTCGAAAAACTAATGGTAGATTCCAATTCTTCGATCCCGAAAGCCATTGTTCAAACTTTATATAGCACCGCTGTTTTCGAAAAAACGGAGTTTTTATAAAGTTTGATCAAATTTTGACGGCGTCGCGGAATTCGAATCTATGATGAGTTTTTCGAAATACTCAAGTTTGTTTTTCCTTTGCACACTACCAATACCACCAATACCAAATCGTATTGCTACTCGAAGTATTAGGATTGTTACATCCCTCTGCTGACATATGAGTACTTGTATATGATAGGAGATGAGGACCCAAGGATACCTTCATATAATAGGACTTGAGGACCTAACGGTACCTGCATATAATAGGATACTGTTATAACAATTATGTGAATGACTAAACCCGGGACCTCGGTACCGGGAATAACCGAACCCGAGAATGTCCGAACCCAAGAACGACTGAATCCGAGAATGACCGAAGCCGGAAAGTTCGGGTCCGGTGCATACCTAGATGCTATGAGTATTCAATGAGAATCAATTACCTGCACAAATTGTTTCACATGCGTATCAATTGAATTTGTTTTTAATAGCAAAGATTTTCAATGAAAACAAATTTTAGCAATAACTTGTGTTAAATCTAACAAATAACGCTCGTCGCAATGCCTCGCTTGACCCTCGAGGGTGTGGGTGTGGGTGTGAATATCTTCTCATCACCCACACCCACACTCACACCTTATATATATATGTACTCTTTGCTTCTGTCCTTTGCTCATTTTTAGGCATTTTCCAACCGTTCTTTTCTTTTGATATTGCACAGATATCCTTCTAAAGCCCGTGAAATTGGTCTCAGATCCAATCGGATCCAGGTTTGAAAAATTTTCTGTTGTCCGAATTTATGCGAGAGTCCACAAATTTCGAACCTACTGGGTTCTAACTAATTATAAGAGCGAATTATAATTCGACGACTATAGGATCACCATCAAGGTTAGCTGAGAAATGGGTAGAGTGTGCTAGCCTTGGCGTACAAATAATTTATGGCAAACACTTCGATTCTTTGTAATGAATATCGAATTTAAATAACAAGATTTCTTTCAAAATATTAAGAGTATGGTTCGTATTAGTGTCTGGATTTAGATCTGAAAAACGTTTGATAAATTGAATTTGCATCCGTTTCGAAAAATTTTAGACCCTACTGATTGTATATTCTCCCGTCTCCTTTATGTTTCTTTTAAGGTACCTTTGATTTTTTCCTAATTCGTTCACATATGTTAGTACAATACCGAGACCGAAACGAATTGAAGTTTTTTGATACTTGTTCGGTTTAATTCGACTTGTGTTTAGAAAAATCGGTTCGGGTTCGGTTCATCTCTCATGTAAAAAAGACGGTTCGGTGTCGATTTGGTTCGAATCGAACCACGCAAATTCGGGTAGATTCAGTTCGTTTTCGGTCTCTAGCATAATAGTTGAGTTTTCATTTTCTTTGTTCTCATTCATTCTTTGAGTTTCTATTTATATTTAATGTTCTTTTGTATTTCTTCTTATTTATTCTGTGTTCTTTTTATTTATTAACATTTATTTTTCTTATACTAATCTTTATATGAATAAAACTTCTTTTCTTCTGCTGGAACATCTACATTTTTATTGATCAAAGTTGACTTTTTTCCGGACACTTATATATAAAAAGCTGACTATTTTTTAATTAATTGATGACCATTTGTATATTATTTTACTGATCATTTCATTCATTTCATTGATCAAAAATTATGTTCCCAAAAAAATATGATTCAGATCATCTATTTGGCAGCTGGATAGGACTGGAAATATCGCAAATAACCAGAAAAATATGGGAAATATATACACCGAGAACAGGATTCTTCGAAATTCTGGGCTGGATGTACCTGAAATGCGACGTAGGTGAAGTTGACTTCCGATTCCAGTGTATACTGCCCCGATTCATCAGGTAGCTTGTTTCAAAGCCTCTATTTTTGTTCCACGTAGAACTCAATGAGTTTTATACAGTGGTATGCTCAGATTTTCCATGGCTCAAAGGATGATTTTTTTGAGTGACAGATGGCGCTAGTGAGAACCTGAAAAATTATCCTTTGCCCTACGGAAAATCTTAGCATACCACTGGATAGAGCTCGTCGAGTTCTACTTGAAACAAGAATAGTAGCTTTGGAACAAGCTCCTAGACGAATCAGAGCAGTATTTAGTCGAATCGGGGGCCAACTTCACTTACGTTATCCTGACATTATTTTTGTGTTAAGTAGTGGATCCAGTGCTTCCAACAGCAGCTGTAACAAGCAGGAGTAAAATGGACAGAACATCTACTGTTTCTGATTTACACTTTGCTAAAAAAATTTACACATTGATTCTGGAATCTCAAAAGTTGTATATACTATTAATGTCAATCAGAGATTATCAGTATATAATAGTAATTATATTAACTGTTTTATGTTTGGTGTACCGACTCTAATTATTTTCTCTCTGTTGTGTAAAAGAACGTTTCAGATTATGATATAGTACGTCTATCTATCACTTATTTGTTTACCAAATATTAATTTATATGGATGAATTTCGCTGGCATTGTATCGTTTGAAGGAAAAAATCGAGAAAATAAAAGTGAATGTGAAGAAAATTTGAGTCGTATATTCGATAGAACGCCATTGGTTGTATACAAATCCAATATTTTTCTAACTGTCAGTTTTCTTTGTTTCGAAAAAATCGAGTTTTCGACATTTTTTCTATATTAAATACAGACTTATTGTATGACAGTAGGTAAGAGGAAGGACAGGCTGCTCTTGACTATTCTAGGGAAACAAATTCTTAGTAAATGTCCGGAAACGTTTCTCAGTTCGACAAGATTCGATTGAAGACAAAGAAGCTGAAATTAACTTGTTTTCACTAGATAACTACTATTTTAATCTGTCGTGATATTTTGATACAAAAAAATATTTTGGGATATTTTTCGAGTAAAATATTGTTTTCTTGCGAACGAGAGACAAATACACTTATCGACCTCTCTCTCCTCTTCTATTGATCTAATTCGACTAATTAACCTCTGAGGAGTTCATTAAAAGTATTTCCAAGGGATCCAGATCAATAGTTTGAGAGATAACATGTATTTATTCCGCTTGATATTAGCCTCACAATGCATCGCAATAGCTGAGGATGAAAGCAAAATTTTGATACATCCGACAAAGGGCACACCAATAGCTGAGAGTATCATGAAACAATACTTCATGGCACCCTCAGCTATTGAGATGCATTGTGAGGCTTGTATCAAGCGGAACAAATACACATTATCTCTTAAACTATTGGTTTGGGCCCCTTGCGAATACTTTTAATGAACTCTCCAGAGGCTAGTTAGTCGAATTAGATCAATAGAAGGGGGGGGGGGGAAGGGTTGATAAGTGTATTTGGCCTGACTGATCTCTTATAGCTGCCGAGAAATCAAAGAAAAAAAAATCAAAAGTCTATCAAACTATCAAACGAATATTCAATAAAAGTAATAAAAAAACATTTTACTACAATATGTCTATGACAATAAACGAAAGATTTTATGTTTTTAACTATTATTATTTGATTACTCAGAACGTTTTTTACCTTATATATATATATGTATATCGATACTTTCAGTGTCAATAAAAATTTTTATAAATATCATCACAACGATGTATATCTTTCTGTGTTAGATTACAAGTATATATTCTGTCAATAAACATAATTTTTTTGTTATTTTCTATTCTGTTGGAGGCAAAAACACGCTGTTCTGTTACACGTGTACATACCGTTGATTTTTAATGATATGGAACAGGTAAAACGTAAAAGACAAAATGATTTTACTGACAATAACAAAAAAAAAGAAATTAATATTCAATTCAGACAGGTCAGTGAAAAGAAA